AATACCAACCAACAAGAGCGACAAATTCTCGTTATAGCATTTGATCGGTTGACGCTTTCTTCGACTTTACAACCGAACGACCTTTCCGAGAATATGAATGGCAAAGCTAAACTTTCTTAAAATATGTCTTCAAGTCAAAGAGAGAGCACTTTTGATTACCCTTAGTCGTCGCTTTGTGAATTACCCCAAATTAAGAGTGTTCTTATCCAAAGGACGAGCGACACAGTCGATCCGAGGTTCCCTACCTCAGATAGCGAGGTCGGCTGGGATCACGAGTGAAACACGACACCGTTTCCGGCTACCGTTTATAAGAAACACTTAGAAGCGACTTGATGACATGATTGCTTCCACCATACACGGCTTTACGGATCACGGCAGCAGGATAATGAAGAGTAGTGACATCCACCACGATGATCCACGTTTTTCAGAGATTATCAATTAGCGATACATTGGAAGTCGTTATTTTTCAGTAACTATGATTTTGCAAAATGTGCAAAATTCACGAACAATTTTGCCATCAAACTCTTATAATGACTTTTAAAATCATCAGCAAACCGGATCGAAGATTATACTCCGTATACTTCATTCCACGGGCGCACGGGGCCTTCGCAACTTCGGCAAGCCCAGTGCAAGGATTATTGTGCTTTTAATTCAAACAGATATCCACGTATCTTTCTCAGTGGTATTTTTAAGGTTATATTGAATAGAATGTCGATGCCGTTCATTCATTCTCGACCCCATACGCGGCGTGGAGTTCTTGCGCCAGTTCAGTTCATAGTTCAATCGGCAGCGCGCAGGAAAAGGATCGGGTGTTTTCTAGAAAGCTATTGCTGATTGAGGTTACATTTTATGGAGGCACCCATGCACTTTCTTTACCTTATATTCCCGTTATTAAAAAGGATATGCATTTCCTGACTGCGACCTCTGCATCAAACCGACACGCGACACATTATAAACAATTAAGATTTAATAGAGGAGCATTTTTAGCGCATTTTCTCATTTATGGAAAAAATGCGCTATTGTGCTCGCCATGTCCGTCTGTCTGTCCGTCCGTCCGTGACCTCAAGTTTTCGTCGACGAGAAAATGCGCTCTCTGTCACTCACTGCAGTGAGTACTGAGTTATATTTTTTTATAGATTATGTTGCTTCACGCAATGCGTCAATTTAACATCATACCAACCGTCTTGTATTCTAATCATGTGAAAAACATTTTAAAATGTATAGACTCAAAGCCCTGTAATGAATAATGTATTGAGGATGAGTATGACATCATAATTTGGTAGTGCGGGGCGTTGTCACAAGTTAAGAGTTTGCGCGGTATCCGTGCGTCTGAACGCTCGTGCCACAGCTGTGTGCGACTGGCAGCAGTGATGGATGCCTACAATGGATTTGCGAGCCGAACTTGTTAGTAATGATTGATTCTAATGAGAACTTGAATACTTGATTCAGACTTGTGAGAGGTTGAGTTTCAGCTGAACAAGTCATCTGCATAGTAATTTTTATACGAACAAAGTCATGGAGTCAGGTTGCTTCCCCTAAATTCGTTCACTTCTTTTTGCATTCAATGTTTGAGAATGTACTACTTGTACATCTACGCATGTGTATACGCAACACACTAGCGCAGGCTAGATTTAATTCAAGAAACACACACAAAGCTACCCATAAGCACTGCAAAGCTCAAAAAGGTTAGGACGTATAAAAAAAACTATTACAAACCGCTTACATACTTAAGATAAACTGTTACAGACATACAATAAACTGTCACGAAACTGTCACGACATATATGATGCATGCAGTCACTTCAAGTGGTAGTATGTAGTTTACTCAACACAAGCGATGATTCCTGCAATGTACATCACTTTTCCTACAATGTACTTCACTATTCCTACAATGTACATCACAATTCCTACATTGTACATCACTGTTTTTACAATGTACTTCACTATTCCAACAATGTACTTCACTATTTCAAACACTATTTGAAACGCACGACCTTCACCAGGAATTAGACCAGTTGCAAGGCACGGAGAATCTCCGTTAGAAAATGTCTAAAAATGCCGTACAGGAAATAAAGCCGCGGGCGCGCTCGAGAAAGTGCAAATGCAGTCGCTCGTCTGCCTATGACGCATGCAAAGCGATATTTTTTGTTAGCAACGAACCCTGACCACTCAAAAATCGCCGAGCCAAAGCAGCTGTTTTATAAGTTGACTTTAAAATTTAATGGGCAACTTTTTACCGAATTTAGACATTAGGTTATAATTATAAGGCTAGTGAAACAAAATACTGAATGAAAAAATTTGCCGAAACCTGATTATCAGTTAAAAAAACTGCATTATATAAGTGAGAATATCTGAAGCATATACCGGATTCTCGAATGAGGGAGTATGAAAACAAGCGATTTTGCTTTGAGCAAAATCGCTTGTTTTCAGCCAATGTCTCTATAGTTCGTTCGAAGTTCAGGATGCATTCGTCTAAAAACGGCAAAAATCCTTTAAAATGCATGTTGCCCAGATACCCGAAGACTGAATCAAAACTTGCTGCACCTTGGAACCATTCTTCTGTGTTTCGCTGAACACGACAGGTTGGGGGCAATATACATTCGACGATATGGAAGAGTTTCCCCTATATGCTCATTAGAAATTCCGGCTTTGCAGGTGGTCTTCATGTACAGTTCCACTTCTGACAATACTAATTAATTTACTAAAGGAAGGCTTAAAACAGTTCGTACTGTTCACGAGGTGGCCAAGTTACTCATGCCACGCGCCCTCGTGGAGTCCCTCATTCACAGTCCACCAGCCACAATCTAGCACAATCTCGAGCGTTCATGCAATTTAGGGGCGTGTTGCGATGCTGTTCATAAACCATGCAAGATCATTTGCTAGCGCAGAAGAAAAGTGGAGTTTCATTATTATTCTGTTTATTCGGTGTTCTCGTTCACTAGGTAGTATTAGAGAGTAACGGGTTTCTTGTATTTTTACAACACTTCTCTTTAACTTCACTTCTTGTTTGTCTGTCTGTCTGTCTGTCTGTCTGTCTGTCTGTCTTCCAATTGATCTGAAATTTTGCACAATTGCATAAAGTCAGAGACAATGCATGAATCAATTGACAGAATAAATAATTTTTAAAATTTACAAAATTTTGATATCTTAAAAAAATTTGAAGAAAAATTTTTTTTTTCAATATTTGAAAATGAAATTAGAAATTCATTGTACATGTGTAACATCCAAGATACTGGATTGTTCAGAAGTGTTGTCTTTAAAAAGCAATTTTTAAACGCATATTATTTCTTTTCACATTTACTCCTTTGATGTAAATAAAATCAAATATATAAGGCGTTGAATTAGTGGGGACTTATTGAGGGAAATTTGCTTTAAAGCTTGACAAGGAAACATTGGACATAACTGATTGTTCGATGCAAATGCAGATATTATTCACTTTGAAAAGTAACCTTTAGTGCACAGGAATGCAAGTGAAGGCAGATATTCAAAGGCAAACCATCTGTTCATGAATTCAGAAAAAAAGAGATAATGTATTTGAATTATTATTAGAGAAAGTTGAACACATTTTGTGGTTGTGCCATTGTTAACTCACTGAGTGTGCGCTAATCACTAGATTGAGCAAATGTTCAAACCTCTATTCAAATAGATGAATATCATGAACTAAATGCCACATTTGTACCTAGTCATTAATTCATAATACAATATTTTGGTTTCACTAAATTAGGAATCATAACATACATCTACATTTTCCCCCTTACAAATAAAGATTTAAATTTAAAAGTATATTTTCCAGTAGCATGGAATTCAAGTTCATTTTGAAAGTAAAAGGAGCTGAAGCCTGTACTCTTTTCGGGCAACCCAAATGGTTTTCTGGACTGCGTTGCAGTCTGCAATCTTGTGGTACCTCGCCCTAGGGAGACCTATATACACTCTTGCAATATGCGCCAGCGTGCCTCACTCCAATTGTTTTGGGTATGGCATGGCGAGAAATGCCAATTTTCATCTCACTGAAAGACTAGGTATATATTGACAGCGCAGGTGTCAGTCTTGCGAAAGAGGTTTACCTGCCAACCTGTAAAGTGTATCGTGGAAAGCAGGTCAGAACTATGGCTTTGATTTTATCGATACAAGCGAGATAAGCTGCCACGCTGTGCAGGAATTATGATCCGGTATTTGCATGGGAACTTGTTTCGAAGGGAAATTGCTAGAAGGTTTTTAACGGTTCACTTGAATGCGGGGTTGGTATTATGAATGATGTATTGCTGCAAGAAATTTGACTACAAATAAATGATCCATAATAGGAACTTAATCTTACAATAATTATACGGAGAAGAAATCTAAATAAAGTTTACCGTCCAATAGTTGGTATCAGTGATCCGATCTCTGTGCTGTTCACAAACAAAGGTACCTGCATTCAGAACTCGACTGCATATTATGATTTTCTAAAGCTATGCCCTCTTTGGTGAATGTATTCCACTTTCCACGCACGTACGTATAGAATAAGCGTAAAGATAAAGGAGATTGTAGAAAATGTGATTGGGGATGAAAATTAGATTTAGAGTAAATTGGAGTAAAAATAAGCAAGCTTTCATAACTAGAGAGATATGTTGTTAAATTATTTATTTTAAACGAGGCATGGAGTTTGAAGCGCATTTGTATTGGGGTGGGTATGTATGTGTATGTCAACTGGTGGGTATGTATGTGTATGTGTTTAGTCAACTTGATGATAATGAGCAAATATTTTTTAGGCATTAAATGCTCATTTCTTAACAATATGGTATTTTCTTTTATGATATCGTAAAAATTGACACATTTTCGTCCGATTGGCAATATTTCATAGCTAAGAACTTCTCCGCATGACTTCAAATGCCTCACAGTCAATCTTCAAATCTTCAAATGCCTCACAGAAAATCAAATTAAATTATGTACATTTTAAACATTACTGCTGAGCTGTATAATTGCAATTTGAAGCTTGTCTGAAAAGTTGCCTTCTATTTCCAGGCCGCACTATGCTGAAGCACGTGTCCCATCGCTCGTCCACGTCCATCGCCGGGACTCAAAGTCCCAGCCGTCGAGCCTCCGTCCCAGTACGGCCTCTCTGTCGGCAGCCGTCCGAAGGTCCCCTCAGCAATGCGTCCACTCCCACCTCCGGCCGCCGCGCCACTCACTCCCCCGACACGATATCCTCGTGCGTGTCGACGCCTGGCATCCACAGGCGGGTGTCGCAGTCCCCCGAGGCTTGCAGGTACACGGTGTCCCCTGACTGCTCCCGACGCCCCGAACCAAAATTGATTCATGGTCGCTACCAAAACGAACCGCCACCAAAACTCGGGCGCAGCATGAGCACTCCAGCAGGATGTAGATACCCTCCACCAGGAGTGTCGTCGCCAGCACAAGCATCCACGCCCGATAGCCCCCATCTTATAATAAACGATAAACGCATTGCAAGCGACGAGAATGTCGCCCTTGGCATCAGAAAGCCAAGTTTCGATGCTAGGAATGACCTGCCCGACGCGCCGCGAAGTTCAACTTTACCAAGACGACCTATGCCCCTGACGGGCGTTTACACGCCCCCCTTGACGGCCGCCATGAGCTACACGTCCTTGCCTCCTGGAGGAAGAACTTCCTTGTCAGGACGATCTTCATCGACTTCTTCTTTGTCGGACACCATCGTCGGAATCCCCGGATGTAGCGGCAGTAAAGTGAGTAATTACAAGTACAAAGGGAGAGAAGTGATAAAGGAAAGATTTTGAGTGGATGAAATCTTAGCCTAGAAAAAATCTGATTATAAATGAAATCTGAATTATTTATAATTTTTTTAAATCTCTTTAGCTATTCCACAGCAAGGTATGTAAAAATTTAAAACGATTAGTAAAAAAAACAGTAACGACAGCTACCAACAAGCATATTTTAAAAGTGTTTTCCATATTAATGTGTGTGAAAGTGCAGGAACAATCAAACAATAACATTACCAAACAACAAATATTAACACGACTTTGGGTCGCACCGACTCGTGAGATTTGCGGCTGTGTTCAATCACCCTTGAGCTCAAACATTAGTGAATCAGCGCCGCAAGGAAAGAGCCCCCTGCAGCTAACCTAATCCTTTCCCTGACATTTTGCCGACCTTGGTTTGATGGCAGCCCGAATGTTCTACGGGCCACATTAGCGCTATGTGTGGTAGTCCTGTAATGATAACCCTGTTAGCTGCACTCATCAAGCTCGCTCGTGAACCGTGAGACTAAAGGATTGGAGGGTGAGAGCGAGACGGCGTCCGGCCGCGCCATTCTATTTGCATTTAACAGCAAGAACACAAAACGCGCACACACGACGCATGGAGAGCGTCTGCAACCAGGTTGCCGTGCGACGTAGGGTTTTGAAAATTTGCAAAATCGAAAGAAATTAATTGACTTGAAATCTACCACGGTAAGATGAAATTTTTTGCATGAAGCAAACATGTCCTCTACAGATTGAAGGAGGAACTTTTCTATAATGTTGAAGTCAAACCAATCAGTGTTGCTTAGTGTGTGCAAAGTGAACAGAAGGCACATCCGCACTGCTCGTCGCAGTTTCTCATGAGATGCGTCTTGCTGTCTTATGAGAAAATATGATAACCAATACTTTAAATGTTTTGAAATTTGTATTAATAAGCAGCCGTAGCAAGAAAAATAGTTACATGTATCACGTTTGTTTGCATACTACAAAGCTGCGAAACAATAATGTCCTTGTCATGCTAGGTAAGCTATATTTCATTTTGTCTTGCTGTCTTATGAGAAAATATGATAACTAATACTTTAAATGTTTTGAAATTTGTATTAATAAGCAGCCGTAGCCAGATATATAGTTACATGTATCACGTTTGTGTTCATACTACAAAGCTGAGGAACAATAACGTCCTTGTCATGCTAGGTAAATTATATTCCATTTAATCGTGAAAAAATAACTTTTTCAAACAACACCGAGTGTGACCGACGATTTGGGTCATGCGTTGCCCTCAAACTCTTCTTTAGCTCGCACAGCCATCGACGCGGTGTTGGCGGTTGTGTCCGTTGCGCGGCGACACGCAACGGGCGTTCACGGCGCGGAGGTTAGGTGGCAGCGCCAGGATAATCCCTCTATTGAGAAGTCGGCAGCGAGGGCTTTGCTTGAGCGTTATTTATTGGGAACTCTCGCGCGGTTTCTAAATGTCAATCAATTTATAAGTAGTGTTGTGATAAAATCAGAGGTTATTAAAAGTTTTTGAAATCATATAGGTATAATTGATTGCGTTCGCTGCAGTAACGCAAGTTGAACTGGAATCTGCCAGCGAGGTGTTGCAGTGTAAAGAAACGTTCTAATTGTTGGATAAATAGCAACTTCTTTAGGTTATTCTCATTAATGCAGCACAAGCTTTAATGAATTCCGGTTAAAACCGAATGAAGAAATGTCCCAAAACAAAACAAAGACAGATGTTATATATTCTTATGACAGGAATAATACTTAAAAAACAACAATTACTCCCGAAATGGCTCCTGTTCTTTTTTTGCTTCATATTCGAAGTTTACTACTAGTAATTTTTCGTAGTAATAGTTGAATGTGGCATGTCTACGATATGAATGCGCATCTCGTCTCGCGTAACCGGTTGTTCAGTTCACCTAGTGCGACTCTTAACCTGTCCTCTAACAATATATATTCTCCAGTTCTTTAGTTCTCTTTGTCCTGCTCACATCACTCGTTATCATCTCCATGCTTCGGGTGTCTGCTTGCCTTGCTGACTCTCACTCATATCGGGGCAGGTATTGCTTAGTGATAAAATATGTACCGCCAAAAAAGTGGATAATAAACAGATAGGTACGATTTAAAAAACCTAATTAAGGAGCCATGAAACGCGAAAAAAATAATACGCCAACATAAACGTAGTTAATAAACGGAACAAGCAACGACATTCGATTAACAATAAAAACTTTCAATTAATAAGCACAAAAACACTAAATATTTCGTTTGATCATATATGTTGCGTATTTCAAACACCGTCCATAAAGTCCTGAAGGCGTAAGTGTTTCGACCGGCCACGCCTCTGATCACTCGCTTCATCTTGATTCGATCGCAATCGGGCTCCTCAATTGCAGTGCCATCGAGACTAAATTCTTGACGCTTGACCATGACGTATACATATGACAACCGAACTTTCTAGCGGGCCCTTAGTAACAATGATGCGCCTACTTATGGGGCCACGCCTCACTCTGGTCACACGCCAAAAAACCATAGTACGCTCGCTTCAAAAGTAACTGAAGGCGGATAAAGTCCCTCGAACTTGAACAATATTAAAGGGTTTCACGCCGCAATCGATTACTATGATCGTTGTCCCGACACTCGAGCAATCTATCAAGCAAGGCTTCAAGCCAATAAATCTGCTGGCACCGCGTGCGGTGTTTGTGCCTTATCATGCGCACCATCGCATTCTTGCGGGTGTTAGCTTTACAAAGGATAGGCCGAGGCAAATTTTTGTGAAGGCGCGTGAACTAGCAACGCGTTCATCGCGTGGGAACATTCATGGTTTTCTCGAGCTATGAGTGAGAGCTAACAAATCTATTTTATTTTGACGTTTCATGTCGCAAGCGCAACAACCATTCATCGATCATCTTGCATGACTGGCGCCAAATAATCGCGACAGATCATTCTTAGATTACTGAATATCTTAATTAAAGTTGTGGCATACCGTGAAATTTGGGTCTGTTGCGAGATCGTTTTTTTTACGTTTTTCACTCAAAACTTTGTAGAAAGTTAATAGCTCGATCTAAGCTTGTTATGCACAAGCAAGAAAATATTTTCGCGCAGCGATTGGCTAGTGCGCTTCAATAAACATATTTTACATCGACAGACAATTTGGTAACGCAAATAATCACAGCTTTACTTTAGTTGTAATTTAAGCCGGTCATAAAAACTGTGCATGAAAAAGTTAAGAAAAACTTATTGCGTGTCGATGAAACGTTCTTGCATATATCTTCTAATTATTGGTATTTCAGGCACATATTATCATGCCCTCAGAACATTCCAGGCACATATTGTCATGCCCTCAGTAGTGAGCATAAATTCATCAACAACTCTGAGCGCACTTGAGGTTATGCAAGAGACTTCCTCTCGCTCCGTGCCTTGCACTCGCATCTTTTTAGCACATTTTATCATGTATTGAAAAAAGGCGCTATTGTGCTCGTCATGTCCGGCCGTCTGTCTGTCTGTCTGTCCGTCCGTCCGTGACCACGTTTTCGTCGACGAGAAAATGCGCTCTCTGTCACTCACTACAGTGAGTACTAATTAAGTTATATTTTTTAAGTGAGATCCTCCGAGCAGGTGGGACGGCCGGAACTGTGTGCGCATGGGAACAAGGCGCGGTATCCTCAGACATATCTCTCAAACTTTGATTTGATCCTAATATAAAGTATCTTGACTGAAATTGGTAATAAGAGGTTCAGATAACCCACATGTTCGAATAAAAAGCACAATTTTATAATAATCATCGTTTTTAAACAATTATCCCGCTCAACTAACCACAAAGTTCAAACAACGCGTTCATGCAATCAACATGTTCACCAATGTGTTCTATTCATTGTTATGTTCGAACTGCCGCCACGTTCAAACAATTGTCATGTTAAAGCTAAAACAATTTTCAAACAATCGCCATGTTCGAGCACAAAAAAAAATTTCACAAAAAAATTTTCTCACAATCACAAAGTTCAAAACACCATTTTTAATCTATTTACTCATTCAACTATAAACCATGTTTAAAAAATCCTAATGTGCAAACAATTATCAAGTTAAAAAAAGCACAATTTTCAAACAATAAATTTGTTCAAATAAACATGTTAAATAAATCACCATGTTCAAACTATTAACTTGTTCAAGCGATCGCCTCGCTCAGAATCACGCAGCGCTGCGCGAGTATAGGAGCAGCTGAATAACAGCCGCTGACAATGAAGTGTCGCTTTGAGTTTTTTTTTTTTTTGTGATAGAGATGAAAAGAACTGCTCACAATTTATTGAAGGGCCTTGATCAGGTTAATGTAACAATGATAACAGGAACAATTGTGGGAAATAGATAAGCAAAACTTTCGAGGTCACAACTGAAATCATTTCCGGGGTTGCTAAAATTGAACTCCAATGAACAATCAGAAATTCTATTGGAATCCAGTTCCATTCAACGATTTGCAATTAGGCAAGCTTAATACCATCATCAACGAGAGAACCTCCCAACAAAAGGTTTTTTTAAAAAACGGATTGAAGTCAACGAGCAACTCTTCGTAACGAACGTCAAATATGTAGAACTCTTTCTCGCTCACTTCAATCCGTCTCTAACGTAAAATGATAACATTTTTGTATAACATAGAATAAAACTAATCGATTTAATTTTTAAACGATCATTTGTCGGAGCACGATCGGTACCTCAATTTTAAAGTTGCAGCACAGAATATAAATAATTGCAAAGTTGTACAGTACATCTGTACTGTTGAACAGTACAGTTGATACAGTTAAAAAAGTTAAATATTAACAACCTCTGAACTAAAACAAGTTGTTTACAATAAAAAAACACCGAAATTTCATCTTGAATGGAGTAGTAATAATAAATTGGAGTCATACAATGTAGTAAACCACAAATGATATTACAAAGGTTGCACTCGATAGCGACCAGCACGTTTTCGTTGATGCTTCCTTACGGCAGTGGTAATGAATCGTAAAATATACAATCAATGCGATTTTATAATTTAATTTTAACGAGGGCAACAATTCGTGGCACGTTCGTGGTGTATAAAGCACGCAGTAAGTTCAGTGATTTTTAAAATAAGTATTCGATAGGGCAGTGTTTATAACCCTATTGTTGCACGGGCGCCAAAGGTTATCAGATGTTCTATATCCCCACAAGGTCTCAACATCCTGTCAGTGTCGGGGCGGTTGATTTTACCTCTCGCTCTGAGAATATGTTAGCGGGCTGAAGGGTACGGTTACTCCTATGATAACTGGCGTGCATGCCGCATGGGATCAGCGGTCTCAATAGTGATATATGGGGCTTCAGTAACGGGACGAAGAGCACTTATTCTGTGTAGAGGATACAATCGGTCATATTATGAAAAGTAAAAGATTGGGTAATGAATTCAATCAAGTTTTTTTGGAGGGGAGGGGGGTTCGAGTTAAGATCAAAATATAATAGGAATAGTTTACTGCCTTATTGCGAATAGCCTTAATATTCCGCGTCCCATAAATATTAATGTCATATACTCATATCATAACCTTAATTACTTGCCTGCCTGATTCCTCAAGTTATTCACGGTAGATATACATTTATGCTAGGGTTTTATTGGAGGGATTAAAGCACATGTTCAACACATCAATCATCGATACAGACTGTAGAATGACCTGCACTACTCAAGATGCCTTCGACTTCAATTACTATAAAACGGCCTTGAATTCATTTCCATCTAAATGAAAGAAACAATGCTCTGTCGCGTGACTATTGAATTTCATATTTCATCTATCAGTAATGTCATCAAGCAAGATTCAATGCCATCAGGCTTTGGAGTTTTTTTTTATAAGGGGAGCTCGTCTCTTTCTTCTGTGGCCCGAGTTACTCTGACGCATCATAACGATGGGTCAAATGAAAAACGAAAAATTTCTTATTTTGCGTAATAAATTAGTGACATCGATTAATTGACATAGACGGATATGTGTTTTCAATAATTTAATTGAGAACAACGAGCATTTAATATCGCCACAACTTAATAAGAAGATCAGACAATTTAGTTAATTCGGTCACAAATTTAAGGGAGTACGTTTTGCGGTCCAAACAATTAAGATTGGATATAAAACTTGTGAAGACGTTCATAAGATGCTAATGCTGTTTATTCAGAAAGGTTACGTGATTACGCAACAATAATGTATGCAATTTTCCACGTTAAATGCAACGAACCGCGTAAAGAAATGAAAATTTCTCTTCCGCTTCTGAATGGCTGTAGACACGGCCGTCGCTAGCGCGGCGCGGCTCAACGGATGCCCTAATTTTCTTTCCCAGCCTAATTCCTTCACTACGGCGGAGGGCAACTCAGAACTCCGTCAGCTAGGTTTCCTTTTCCTGGGCACAAACCACTGAGTCCCGAAATGGATCCAACTATAGACGTGCTTGATCCTTTAGAATGATGCAAAACAATACAAGGATGTAAACTGCAATTTTTTGCCAACGGTGTACAGTATATATATTGAGCTCAGTTCCTCATTCAAGTTCTCACGGCTCCCTTGAATAGCCTTTTGATAACTGGCTCGACTACTACATTCTATTTTAATCAAGTGCTTAAATAAATTGATTTGTTCCATTCATTTCAATAAGGTTGTCTCACGGACTTTTTTCTCGGTGTGACCGGAACCCACGGAAAAAGAAAAAACTTTCCGACATCCAGTCGACAACCGCGAATCTTCCGCATCCGGACTAATAGACTTATTCATTGACCGTCGCTCTCCTGCCTTCAACGCAATGAGCGTGAGAAGTCCTCATGCTTCCTTCTCTCATTTAGGCGACCCAATAATCCCCGTAGAAAAAGTTAGCATCAATTAATTAAGTACAGAATGGAACAATACTATGAATGAATGTAGAACAAGGTAGACTGAATTAATTTCGGCTCAACTGCGTGGATGAATGAAAATTCATCGGTCGAAATGAATGGAATTTTAAAATGCGCCTTAAAACTAAAGTCCGCACTAGTGGTGCACATGTTTTTTACGGGGTTTTGCTTATAAGCTCTTCCGAGGTTAATTAATAATTTAAAAATATTTTTCTTACCAGTTCCGTAAATTTCCCGCAAAAAGTGGTCTGATTGCGATATGAGGTAATGATGTCACTGCAATGCGTTACGATGGCTGAGGAATGACACTGCAAGCAATTAACAAGTGACGAGGTAAATTCCGAAATGCGGCTAAAAATATGAAAAAAATGAACCGTTTCATAATTAGTTTACACTCGACAAAAATTTGTAAAATTTAGGACGTTAAAAGTTTTTCAGTGATTTTTCCATCACTGAATAAATGCGTGGTGATAGCAGAAGAAAGTTTCAAGACCAAAAACTACTTCAAGACCTGACCACACGTGTGAACTAAACAAGTAAAAGTAGACATCAAACAAACTTCCCTAGCTGTAGAAATAGGAACTTCGTAGGAAAGGGACTCGTGAAAAATCTAGAATTTGTTTCAAATTCAAGTTAGTTCAACGAAATAGGAATATCAAACACGTTTAGATAATCGTACTCGTAATCGATTTACCTATGTAAATAGGACTCGTATTTACATAATCACGCAAATACATCAACAATTGTCTGTGTGGTAGAGTTTAATCTTTGAAATTAAAGTTAGAATGTTTTCTCTGCATGAGATGAATCGTCATTCTCGATGACATTTCTATGTTCAGCAAGAAGGCTGTAATTTTTAAATAAAATGTCTACCTTACTTATCTATTTTTATTTACTTCACCATCAGACTGCAGTGCGCATTCACCTTCGCCAACTACGTCCTGACATCGAGTACAAAACGATCCGTATGGATACCGAGACGACCTGCCGTCAGCTAATCGAGCACCTGCTGCAGAAATTGCGTCTCAAGCACCGCGACCCGAACCTGTTTGCGGTGGTGCTCGAAGTGGCCGTCAAAGGGCCTGGCGGGGCACCGCCGCTCAAGAAGCGCTTCTTGCTGGAGGACTCAGCGCGTCCCGTGGAGCTGCAGCAATGCCGCCCTCGGGGGGAGGCCAACTTCAGCGTTACCATGAGACGCGGTGGCGTCCTCAGGGTGCGGGACAGCGTTCTTACGCCCGGGGTGAGTTTTATTGTAGAGGCGTGATTCGTTATCTTAATTTGTGCAAATTTTACATTAGTAACACCGAGTTCTAAATAGAAAACATATTAGCTGCATTTATTAAATAGGCAAATTTGGCAAAAAACAGCAAAGCTTTTTGGCTAATAAAAATATTTCCTGCATTCTTTCCGAAAATGAACGTAAAACCTAAAAAAAATCTTTTCCCACTTTAGTCTCACTACAAATCGCTGCTGGTATCATACACGAGCTCTGCAGTGGAGGTTGTGCGGCTGCTTCTGCAGTGTAACAACAGGACGGACGACCCGAGGCTCTTCACCCTGCACGAGAGCTGCTCTGAACCTTACCACGACCGTCCGCTCGACAGCGACGATCGCCCTCTACAAATCCAAGCATCGTGGCCCAAGGAAAAGAGGGACAAGTACTCGTTTGTACTACGCCGCAGTTTAACGCAAGGCCTCATCGAAAAGCGGGTGAGTAAATGAAACGTTTCAGAGAATACTAATTAAAGTTATCAAAATGCTAAAGAAGCTAAATTACTAAGATATAATTCCAAAATATTACTTGTCACTTATAAATACTATCCAGTGGCTCTAGAAATGTTAAATGATTTATTCATAAAGTTTATCGTGTAAAGAATTCATGGATTTCTTTTATCATGACAGCAATTATGGCGAGTAACGTCCATTGAAACCTCAAGCACCGACACAGAATCAGAAATGGATGATCAGCTGGTGATGCCAGCTATCCGATTCCCGTCTTCAATCTTGAGCAACTCGTCTATGCTTCTACCCTCTCCAAAACTAATACAGAAGCCCAGTTTGATGGCGGTGCCCTGCATTTCATCCAACAGGTCTTCTATATCATCGACATCGTCGTCCTCATCATCTTCGTCTAACTGTGGTTCAAGTGGAAGTAGTTGTTACACTCCGCAAAACTTGTCGAGGATATCTTGTGACTCTGGGTTCTCTTCAGTCGCATCGTCACCACAGCCTCAAACCCCTCCGCTGCGCGTTCTCCAGCCTTCAGCGAGTACAGCGCAAACTCCAGTACGAGCCTATGAAGAGAGTGAATCGAAAGCAATTGACTACCTTGGCAACAGCGCAATGCAGCCCAAAAACGATGGCATCGTACATATCGGTCAAAGGAACTTTTCTGCATCCGGAGAGTTAGAGGTTCCAAAGTTAACAGCGACCTCGACGCTGCCCATAAAGAAAGAACCTCCACCTCCTCCTCCGCGGAACTTCATACGAAAACTCGACGGACGATGTGCTGGAGATGTTCAGAATATAACTAAACCAAGCTCAAGTGATGGATTAATACCTCACCCTGAACATGTTTCGATCTCAATTGACAAGAAATACCAAGAATCATTGCAGGATCTAGGAATCAATACTCGGGAGTTTTCACATACCAAGGAAGAATCATCTTTGTCATCAAATTTGAGTGATCGAACACCAAAAAATGAGACGAGTGATGCTTTGTCGCCACTTTTAAATTTTTCATCACCTTCAAAACATTCGGTAGTTATAAACAGGCCATCTTGCCTGAGTTCTTCCCGTTCTACGCCCATTATCAGAGAAGTTATTTATAAGCACATTAGTTCACCGTCAGCCTCGTCTCAATACAACCCATCTAGTGCGTCATCGCCAGCGTCGCAGGTGTCGTACGCGTCGTTGACTTCGAACTTGACGACGCCTTCGCCCACCGCATCGTCGACCGAGCGGCAGCGGTCAATGTCTTCAGCCTCGTCAGCATTTACCTCAGAAAGCGAAGGAAAATCAGGGACAAGCGAATCTTCGCCGCAGCCTCAGAAAGCCCTGAATACATTTGAATTGGGCCCTGAGCATTACCATAAATCTCATAATGATGTCCTTCGAGACTCAAATGTGAAAATTCAGTCTTCGACTCCGCCGGCTGTTCCTCCTCGCCATCACGTCAATACTAAACTTGTATCTACGAATTCGGGGTCTATGTCAAAGCAAGAAGTATTTGCAGGCGTTTTGAAATCGAATGAACATGCATGTCAAAAATTGCCGTTTGTAAAATCTCTTGATAGCGAAAATACGACTTTAGAAGCGCTTACTCAGGTACAAAAGTCTTCTGGGCGTGACAAGAATTCGTCTTCGTCGGTTCAACCTCGTCCAACGCCCTCCCCTCCGCCTCTGCCGACAACTTCTCCGCCACCGTTGACACCGAAGGAATCACGTAACTTCCATTTTCTATCGATCACAGATGCTAAGGCTAACTCCCGACGTAGCAGCTTTCCTTCAACATTAGATTCGCAAAAGGAGGGACCTACAGCGAGTCAGTCACATCCCTCGAGCAATCCAGAACTTACATGGAAAGTTGAATGTACTGAAAATCAGAATTTAATCGCAGATTCTTTCAGAAACTTATTGAACAAGAATGAGGCTCCTACGATACCCGACGAATCGAGCAAACAAATAAATAAAATGGCCAGCTTTGGAGGGCCGTGTTCTAGCTCGCCTTCTCTTTATACGTCACCACATGCAATTCAAGCTCAAAAAGAATTGCAACAAGCCATTGATTCTCTAAAGTATCTTACTACGCATGACCTCATTTACATATAAGAAATATTTCGTCTTACATACAGCAAGGCTGCGTCATTGATAAGCCTGCGTTGCACCTTATCTTGCCAGCCAACAATAATTGATAAGAAGTATCGGAACAAATTCTAAGATATTTATTACCGCGGCCATCCATCGAATACTAAAGACGAGACATTAAATATTTTAAAGCGAATTGATTAAAGAACTCACGATTAATAAAGACTCAAATTCTAATTTTATTCATTTGATACGAGCTATAGTTCAGAGAGGAAAGCGACGTGTGAAGCATCATCGTGCCTTACAAATCTGGTGAATTTATTCCTTTAACTAATTTTAAATCCATCGACAAATTAATTCTCACATAGTGACTGCAATATGTGGCAATAGCGAAGGCTGATAAACGCGTAGAAGTAATTCCTTCGATACTGAAATTAACCAATACGTTTACTCGTTTTATATGATTGAATTTATCTAATCATTAAATAAAGTACGATTTATTATTAAGAAGTTCAACTGACATGACGTTTTTTTACGTAACGAATTCAGACAAATGAACGATTTTCCGTGAATTCTAAATTGAATCCAGGTACTTACAAAGATCAAGTAGCATGTCGTATCACTGGTATACGACAAGGCGAGCACCCGAATATAAATGGTAAAATACATACCTTTAAAGCAACAATTTTTGCGATGCAACAAAGCTGAAGGAGAGTGATGCACTGTCTGCTTGTTAGTCGTACTATGCGTTGATGAATGAATTCATTGTTTTTCCTTGTAGGCTGAGAACTACTCCTACTACGCCGATCAATATGTAATTTGAAAGCCTTTTAATGTTCCCCCTAAATATCTAATTTGTGCATCCCTTCCGACTTCGAACTTCTTCGCTAACTTTCGGGTAATGAAGTGATTGATATTCAAGGTTTTATTCCTAATGCGGTAACTGAACTTGTAAAGCATCTATTGAGATATAATACAGCTATGTAGCTAGCATCATCTTTGCATGCTAAGAATTGTGTTAAAGTGTCTGTTACAATCAGATACTAAGAAAACTTAAAATTTGATTAATATTTACGTGATAAATTTTTGTAGTCTTAAGTTGTGTGACTTTGTTGATTGTGAGCTCCGATGTTAAAAGGATCTAAAACCGTTGACTCCAAGCCTTTGCTGTCCGTTGGGTCTGAGTGAAGTAATGAAGTACTACAGAGCACGCGATGATAGCGTAGCTTGCTGTCACGAGTCTAGCTCTTGGTAATGACTGATAAAGAATAGCACAATACTTCAGTGAAGTTATGACCATCTCGTCTGTAGCGCCGCCGAATAGCTGATGTGAGTAACGCTCACGTATACTCTCAGATCCATCAATTGTGCCTCATACTGAGCTATGGTTCGTACCTGATAGCACTCTAATGTAGGGAAAGAAACTGTGAAATTCATCTGTCAGTCTGCAGATAAATATATTTGATTCAGCTTCTTTTTTGAGCCTTGATTTGAAAAAGAAGAAGAATGCATACAAGTAGGTGAATGCATACAAAAATTATTCAAGTTGTTTAAACTTTGTACCGACTTTCCGACAGTTCGAAAATAATTTCTGATCGACTGTTAAAATTGCTTTTGCCCAACTAGCGAAACAAAACAAAATAAAACAGAAATACTCTTACTTGCCATGGAGCGATTTCATGTCTGATTTTTATGATTTTGATTGATGTCGCTCGTTATTAGGATTTTGTTACAGAAAAAAATGTGCTTTACAAAGTGATCAAAGTATCTTCAAATGCCAGCCAGTATAGCATTAACAAGTTTCGTCTCGATACTACAGTCTAATAATGCAGTTATAGGTCGTCAGAATTCTATACATAATAATATATGTGGTTATTTGTTGCCAAAGATGTGTTTTGTCATTAGATGTAGATAGTAGATAATAGAGAGTGTGTACACGGAAATAAATATACGTAACTGAATGATCTTGTTGTTATAGCCTTGTTGTCTTATAGATCACTGAGAATCATTAAGTTAGAAGAAAAAAATTTTCGTTTAAGCGAATCTCTTCCATGCGAGTAAATCGAGTTTTCAATATGTGATGAAATCGCCAACTACTTCAGTATATTACATCGAAGTTCAAAAAAGTCATAGTATCAAAGTTGCAATATTAAATAACGTCAGAATTGTAAAAATTATATTTTATCACAGTGTATGGGAGGCTAAAGCCACAAAAGTTGTGGCATTTACCAAAGTTAGAATTTCAATCCCAGACTACAGGGACTTGGAGCGACCAAAGTTGCAATATTGCATACCGGCAAAGTTGCTAATGTCTGGCCTCATGCAGAGCTGTCTGCTTATCTACGGCTTAAGCCACGAGATATTTAACCTGTTAACCCAGCAGACGTGGCAGCGCTCGGTCGCATACGACGTGTGGCCGTACACATGCCGCATGCACCGAATTTCCACTCCGCTTTAACAATCGCAACAGCACAACGATGAGTTACGGAATTGTATTGCATTTTTCCTGGTTGAACTGAATGCAATAAAAAAAAGTGGTTAGAAAACTCGATCTTCATTTTCAGTATTTTACATTAGTTCATTATCTAAATCACCGGAAAATATTAACGAGGCAGGTTGTCGCATTCATGACAACGAAATTAGCAAAATTTCATTATCGTTAATTGATACCTTCATCATTTTTATGTTTTTCGATTCTTTAATAGAACGTCAATTGTCCAAAGCCTGGATTACAAGTGTTTTTTTCTAACCGGCCTCAAAAAGTCTCAGAAATTTTTTAAGTAAAAAGACTAGGACCCTGTGAACCAGATCGTTATGCATCATTCAAACAAGAGCCCTCTATATTTTTAATTCTCTATTAGTATATTTCTGGTACTGTATCTATGCGAATTTCGATAGCATTGAAGCAGAATTAATTGAGGAACTTGTCCACAAAAAATTGCTAATACAATTATTTGCCGAGAAATAGTCTAAATGATAGTCTAAACTTCTTAACATTATGTTTTACATCTGCCAAGCTATTTACGTATATACGTGAGGTGTATGTATGCCAAGCAATAAACGCACATGGTTTTAGATGAAATGTAATCCATGCAACTTCCCTTACAAAACTTATTTCATCGCGCATACAAAACTCGCAACCCAGATGCTCAATTTAAACTTCGATATTTCTATAGAATGCTTCAGTCGGCCATTTAATTTACCTCATGCTTAAAGTTCCAGCGCGCGGTACCAAAATTTCAAGCATTTATGCTATTTTATGGAAACAATTCGAGGCGCAGATAAAGTAAAGTGCAGAATATTATATAGGGAATTAGTTGTAAGTGATAGACCACCGAGTGGCCACCCATACCCGCATATAATTTTGAACATTGTTACGTGCATGCACCTGAATGAGAGCAGAGCCCCGCAGCTCACGATGGCAATGTAGGCAAGTCATGCTTCGGGTGCCACGGCCTCACGATCCTTGGGTCGGAAAACCCAAAAGATGTCCGCTAGTTGGCAGATCCAAGTAGCGGATGCCGGAACCTTATTTAACGGGATCACTCGTGCTCAGTGGCTTCCATGCCCACGCTGTGACCATCGAAGCGATCGATGGCCGGCGCGTTGCGCGGTGACACTTGAACTCAAAAGGCCAGACCGGGCGACATGCTTGGCTGAGGCCTAACTTCTTCCTTCGTTCTGGCGCGGGAACGACTCGGTGTCGTGATGATACTCAGCACTGATCCTGGGTAGATATAGACATCTTTTATTTGACTTTCTAGCAGTAGAAACCTAGCTATAAAGTTGGGTTCATCGATCTTACGGTATGCCTGGTCTAAAACAATCTTGAACTGTTTTCTTAAACATGAAAGCATCACGAGAAGAATTTTTGGAAAAAAATTTTACGTCGTGTTCAGCGGAAATTTCAGAGGCGGATTTGGAGCTCGCAAAAAAGAATTCTAAAGAACTTCCATGAAAAAGAGAATGACACATTAAACGATTCAACGATCAATGCATGATAGATGACAAAACGAATGAACTTTTCTGAAAATTAAAAAGGACTACGATTGGAAAAGACATAAACACTCCACCATGCCTTTACTTGCGTTTAAGGAAACATTTCAATGATATTGTAGAGGTTTGACACGCGGGTGTTCTCTGAACGAATCTGACGCGAGGTCACGAGCGGGCTGAGCGCTGTTAGACTGGCCATTTGGTTCGTTGGCTTCGGTGGATGAGGTGAGGAGGTGTTAGTGTCCTGGTTGTGATTGCCGGTTAGGCTCGGCTGTGTAGGAGTCTTATATAGACGCTGTTAATGTTGCCGGTTCCGAATTTATATGAAGTTTATTGGACTGTGAAGTAGGGTTTACCCTATTTTGCCTGGAAGATATAATGGGATATTCTGCTTCTCAGGTGGGAGGGACCCTTTTCTGGTGTGGCGTTGGCTTCTGAGATTCGACCGTGTTCATCTCAGGCGTTTGTTCAGGGGTGCGTACCGTGAACGTGCACCATCGGAAGAAGCCGACTGCCTCCAGTGTTCGCCTGACGTGGGAGCCGACTTGACCAGTCTGCCCGTGATTTCCCGTGTGCTCTGCATAAGCCGTGCCGCGTTGGGCGCCTACCGCCGTACCGTAGCGGAGCACCTAATGACGAGTTAACCAGAGTCGGGAAGTTCCTCGTGGAGGCGTGACCCCTAGGCTTGCCTGGGTCGGGCCATCGTGTCCTAGGCCGAGCCATCGTGTCCTAGGCCCGGTGTCGGTGCCGCTTGGGGTTGCCCGTTCCGTTATTGGGGCTTCCACTGGAAGAGATACGCGGCTCTCGGGAAGTCGGCATGTCTCGTGTTCGGGTTCGTGCAATGGTCAATAGGTTTTAAATTTGTCGCGGGTCGACTGTGTTGAATAAATGGTTTTTTAGTTAAGTAACCGTGAAGTAGGTAGTCAGTAGTTATATTTGTTCGGAGTTTCTAGTCTAGATTGAATAAAACTTTGGATTGAATTTTATTCTTGTGTCTTAGTAAGCCTTATTGTATGGGCCATCCCTCGGTACTAGTAGCGTCTCTTGCCCGGGGACATTGAGCGGTTAGGCAGCTCTGTTATCGTTATTAATAGTTACTCGCTCTCCCGTAACAATATGAAGCATTTTTTATATTCATTCAAGATATTCATCATTGTATGAAAATTTTGGGTGACTCGATCCACAACTCAAAAATCAGCCCCGGGAAGTGAAAGAAAACGTTTTTTATATAATTTAACATTATTTGAAATTTTCAGGTGACTTCACAGCTCAAAATAAGACCCAGGAAATAAGAAAAAAATAAAATACTGCAGGTTACGGAGGTTCGTCCTGTTATTGAAGTTTTTTTCTAGTTCACTGGGCACATGCAGGTCAGAATCAACGGCTCGTGCTGAAGCTGATGCATGGCCCCGGTGCGCGACTACACTTGCTGCGTGGTTGGTCTTGTACAGAACAATTAAAACTGTGAGGTGTAGAAGCTATGTAATACACATTTGATTATTTCAGTCAACAAGAAGAAGAAATTATTGTTTCTTACATCCTCTTTTGCATAAACGAGGACGAAATTATAGTGAACAAATGTTGGCTATAATTATATAGAAATAAAATATAACACGAGCAACATAAACATCACTCGTCATACAAGCCTTTAACAATTCGGAATTAAATTTAGAAAAGTATTCATCTACTTTAAATACAGCTTTTTGAAAGACATGCATTTTGAGCGATATAATATCATTATTAAATTAAAATACAGTGCTGAATTACAATTTTCCATGCGTTTAGAAATTGTGATATAAAAAGCTGAAAAAATGAAATGCATAAAATGTAAGATGAAAAAGTCGGCTGAAAACTTGTAGTGAAGAATGCTCACAATTTCTACGAATATTGAATTCAAAGCTTGAATGCGGATCTCACGGACACATTCAGTATGTGAAGTAAAATTCACCCGCATAGTGTTCATATAGCAATTAAATTTTGTGCTCAGTATTAAAAAAGCATTTTTTCTTCAATTTTAATGGTTGCCGTATCTCAAAACAGTCTAATAAATCCTTCGTTCTGTTTTCTTATCAGGAGATAATGAAAAGTGAGTGAATATTCTTCCATATTCATTCTAAAATAAATTAAATGGATTAAGTTACAAACAAAACTTTAATTAGGTGGATGCATCATATATGCAATTAATTGTAGAAAAAATTAAGGAAGAGACAGGCACACAATTTTGAAAATAATTAAAGTTTTCTGCTCAAAATATTTTCAATACAAAGTTTTCTTCATAATCATGTTCATTACAAAAGTGCACGCATTAAAGCCTGTGAAAATGTTATTTCGGGTAAATAGTCCATGAGAAAGGCAAACCTTAACGAAGAACGTTCACGAAAATCTCCACAGAAAAAAATCCCCGGTAAAATTAATGGCTTCAGAAGAAACGACCCAAGGTACTATAAGCAAGCGATTGTATTTCTATTTAGGTCTAATTGTTGTAGCAAGCGATTGTATTTCTATTTAGGTCTAATTTCGTACGCGTATACACAAGACACGTGCGGACGATTACAGTCTCGGCTAATGCCTGGCTTCTCCGCTACATTGACGCCGAGCGCTCCAGAGACTCTGCCGTCACTCGCAGCCTGGCGCTACATCGATATTCTCAAGCAAGCTTGACGGGCTCGCTGCCTGGCTATTGTTGGTCTGATATAAATTACAGACGAAGCCCAAAAATATCGAAAATTGTTATTAAATGACACAGCAAAACAAAACGCAAAGTAAATAATTAAATTTTTTACAATAAAGAGAAGATATACTCACAAATATTCACAGTAAAGAGAAAATATACTCACATATATTCATAGTAAAGAGAAGATATACTCACATATATTCACAGTAAACATAAAACATACTCACCTATATTCACAGTAAACAGAAAATTTAGCTGACGTATGTTTAGCCCGCGTGCCTTCGCATTTCCCCGA